ATAATATTTAACCATAAAAATAAAAAAAAATGTTTATTTTTTATTATTTTAAGAATATTTTTAATCATTCTAATATTACATTAAAACTATAAAAATTCATTTAAATATCAGATAACGTCGGCTAAATATGAAATAATGACACTCAAACGTATCGACTTTTTCATTAATGTATTAAAGACAATATTATAATTTTTAAAATACGAGGAGTATTTATTTATTTATTATTATTATTTTTTTTTTTTTGGAAGGAGTGAGCATGAAAGTAGTTGAAATAGAGGGGGATAAAATTTGAATAATGAAAAGAAGGTGTGAATTTGTGAAAAATCGACGAAGATTCCGGGTCAAATGTATAAATATATTAAAGTTTTGATGAATTAGTAAATATATAAAGAAATTTAAAAAAAAAACACAAAATTAAAATTTTGGGACCCATTGCCTTGTTGTAATTTCAGGGTAAGCCAAATTTGAATTTCACTCTCTTAATATTAATATAATTTATATATATATATATAATAAATAATGGGAAAAGGCAAATTTGGTGGGGTATATAAATATTTGATTCTTTTCATATGAAAAATCAGTTTCTAGAAAATAAATTCCTTTTTTAATTTTTAATCAAGTGTTTATGATTTGACGTAATTTTTCAATTTCGATTAAATCTTTGAATTTTTAAAATGTTCGTTTTAATTTTGAAGCTTCTAAGAAACATTTCATGCATAAAATTAGAATGTTTCTGTCTAGATTGGTGGGAGGAAAACAAAATATTTTTATTTTTTTATAATAATAAAATAATAATAATAAGGGAGTACAAAGTTATTTTAAAATAAGATTAAATAAAATTTTAAAAAAAAAAAAAAAAAAACATGTTTTTTTTTTTTTTTTTTTGTTGTTGTTGGGTTTGCATGAAAGTAAGATAAAAGGAAGGAGGGCGAGCCGCCGAGTGTGCAAATTTTGACTTGAATTCCTAATTTAGGAAGGAACCATTTCACATAAAAGTTAGGTTAGACGGTTCTCTCATAATTGTCCAAAAATATGTATACATGGTAGCTAATTTACTCCTAAAATAATAAATTGCCAGCTTTGATTTGTTCGTATGCTTAAAATAGAAGTTCTTCGAATACTACTTATTACAAGAAAGTTCATAGGGTTAGGAATCACGAATCTCCATAATAGTATGATATTGTCCATTTGAGCCTAAATTCTCGTAGCTTCGTTTTGGGCTTGTGCAAAAAGCGTTCTACCAATGGAGACATATTTCTTATTTATAAACTTATGATCATTCCCTAAATTAGTCAATGTAGGACTCACTTCCAACAATCCTCGACAAATAAAACGTGAAAGTAACGTGTTTCTCTCTCTTATATGGTTTTTTGGTCGAGCCTGTAAATTATACTTAAAAATCAGTATAGTTCAAAATCGACTTGAAACCGAAGAAAACTAACCTATATCGCTTGTGTTTTCTTCATTTTTCCTCTCTGGCGAGGCTCTTCCTTGTGATGGAAGCTTATGGTAATACTTGATGGTCGAGCAAATGTAATGGTATGAGTAGTTAATAAGGAAAACTAGGAGAAAAGCTCAAATCTTACTACGAACTTCGTGCAAGCAATGACGATTAAAACAGTGGAAAAACCAACGTCAAAGACCTCGAGTTAGTTGTTCAACGTCAAGTGATGAGAAATGAGATTACACTTACGCTGCCCTGATTTGATGGACAAAATACGACGAGAAATTTTGGTACCCACTAATTCTAAACATTTTTTTCAACCTTAAAACTTACGATTCAAAAAAGATGGGAACGAAATGATATGTTTATCAAATGGAGATTTAATTTTTCAGCTCGTTCGATAGTGGAGACGTGCAACCCAATTTTGACTTTGTAATATGGCATAATTAAACACCGTAAAGGACAAGAATCCAAAATTTAATGGGAACCAAAGAACGAACGTACCCAAAGTTTGAAACTTGGAATAATTCGAACCAATCCGACATTTTGGCACCAACCGACTTCAATTCTTTTACTTTCATGCATGCAGCTCATGTTAAAACTTCAACCCATATGAACACTATATATATACATATATATATATATGCTTTCACATTATAATTGTTCAATTTGTCGGTCCAATGAACTAACCTCTTCGATTGTCATAATGGATCTATTTACCGATAATCATTGAACGGTTGTTCGAAAATTTGCATGTCTCTTAATACCCATAATTATAAACTCAAAATATTTTTGTAGTTTCTCCCGGTCAAATTGTCAGAACGTTGAATTTAAAAAAATATATATATATCATTTCAAAAATTAATATTTTAATATATATATCAGACTCAAAGATTTAAAAAAAAGTCATATCATTCGAATAACCTTTAGTGAATTATTTTATTTGAAAAAGAAAGTCAAAATCTAAAAAAAGTTGAAAAAATATTTTTGAACAAATACGTCTCAACAAATAATTATGAAATAAAAATAAATTATTTAAACTCCAAACTGGTTTTTTTAATTAATTAATAATCATTAAAATTATTATAATATAAGTTACATCTTTTGTCATTTATAAATAAATTAGAGATTTAAATTTATATTTTCATATTGAACTAAAAATATATAAAAAAAATGGCTTTCTAACTCATAATTAATTTATTAATCATTATTATAAATATATTTTCTATTAGGAAATGTCACGACACCGTTTTGCAGGATTGCTTCACAATAATTATGAAAAAAATTATAATAAAATATTTTTTAAAAATAAAAAATATTATATATATTAAAAAATATTATTTTAGTGATCCGTGTATATATATATATAAATATACTCGAAAGTGGCCCATTTTGAATATTCCATCAATAAATAAATAAATAAATAAAATAAAAAAAGAAAAGCAGTGGCCTGGTGGGTACATATCATGATCTTGGATAAAATATATTTAATTAACCGATAATTTTAAACGTTTTTTTAATACCTAATTTTTTTTTTTTTTTTTTTTAACTGAGTGCTTAGTTTACTTATTCATAAAAGTCGTGACACGGATTGATTTCTCTATATGGGTGTGAAAATTTCTCTCTATTAAACGCGTTTTAATATAATGAGACTGACGGTGATACGTAAGGGGCTAAAGTGAACAACATCTGCTAGCGGTGGGTTTGAACTGTTACAAATGGTATTAGAGCCAGACATTGGGTGGTGTGGCAACGAGGACGTTAGGCGTTGGGCTCTCAAGAGAGATAGATTGTGAGATCCCATGTCGGTTGGAGAGAGGAACGAATCTATGACGACCTAGATCCATCGCTTGCAGATATTGTCCTCTTTTGAGCTTTCCCTTTCGAGTTCCCCTCAAGGCTTTAAAACACGTCTTCTAGGAGAAGGTTTCCACACCCTTATCAATGATGGTTTGTTCTCCTCTCCAACCAATGTGGGGACATCACAATCCATCTCCTTTCGGGGCCCAACGTCCTCGCTGACACTCCAATCGACGTGGGGCCGCCCCCAAATCCACCCTCCTTAGGGCCCAGCATCCTTACAGGCACACCGCCTCGTGTCTACCCCCCTTGCAAGAACAGTGAGAAGGTAGACACATCGTCCGGTGTCTGGCTCTGATACCATTTGTAACAACCCAAATCCACCGCCAACAGATATTGTCCTCTTTAGACAATATCTGCTAGCGGTGGATTTGGGTCGTTATATAGTGGGTGTAAAATGTTAAGAATATTAAATGTACGGAATCGAGCTGTTTTTTAATTCTTTATTTTATTTCCACAAACATTGTGGCATTGACTTGGTTTAGTGTGGAAAATTAGAGAAGTAAATTAGTAATGTATTATAAAAAGCATAATATTTTTGTGTGGTCATGTCATTTACTACTTTTCAAAAACATTATGAAATTTTTATTATTCAATTCTACAAGCACGTGGTATTCTTAATCTTTCCAAAAAACAATAAAAAAAAATGCTCGTGGTAATGTCGATGTTTTTTGACCCATCAACTTTAGAAAATACATTAAAATTCAAAAGAAATGAATTATTATCGTATATTATATCATACTAACACAAAAATTTAAAAAGAAATTTATAAATTTAACAAGTCTACCTAAGGAATGTGCTAGAATACTTACATCACGAGGTACAAATTGAAATCTAACGACGTTCGATACGAGCACATATTTGAATAGCATAACTGACTTAATATTTTAATTTTAGGCAAAATTAATAAAAATATACATAAATTTTATATTTTATCTAAAAAAAATATTCGTAATATTTAAAAAACTTCCGTAATACCTTTGAAATAAAAAAATGTATATATAAAATATATTTATTATTAATTTTTGTATGTAACTGCTAATACTTTATTTTTAAAATACTCGTAAAAAAATTTAAAAAATTTTAATTTTTTAAAAAAGATTAAAATGTTTTTGTTAATTACAAAAAAAGTTTTTAAAGTTTTAAAATATTAATATTTTGTAAAAGATAAAAGTGGAATAGTTTCCTAACTCCACGGTGACGTGTACTACTGGGGGTGGGATCGTGTAGCATACGCTGTAGTACACGTGGCGATCTTACTGATAACAATCTGCTTCCTCCTCGCAGGAGAAGCGGCGTCGAAATGGCGAAGTTTTCGGTGGGTGGAGAGGAAGACGGGGAGGACGGATCCAGTACCAGTAGCCCTAGGGCGAAGAGGAAGAGAACCTCCTTTCGCATCAACGCCGTCGTTAATTTTCCCCGGCACAACCAACGGTGTGAAGAAGGGGAAGAGCAGGGTTTCGATTACTGTAAGGAAGAAACTGCGAGCGATGAAGAGCAGAGAAAGCGCCATCGAATTGACGGAATAGAGGAACAGGTTGAAGAGGACGGTACCGAAAACGCACTCTGCTCGGTTAAGTCCTGCTCTAGAAATGTGAAGGAAAATGGCTCCATTTCGATGTTTTTGATCGACCCTGAAGTGTTGGATTGTTCCATTTGTTGTGAACCCTTGAGTGTCCCCATCTTCCAGGTATGTTGTTTTCAATAATCTCCGTCCTGGTTCTGTTCGTAATTAGTTGTGATTTTGTAGTTGACTTTGCTCTGATTCCAAATTGGCTTTTCGTTTGGGGGTTTTCCATAAAGATCAGATAGATCCCAAAATTGAGTTGGGTTGGATTTCGTTCGATTGAACCTTTAATCAAATAAGATGAAATGGAAGCCATTAGTAGTTCGTTCGTCTTGTAAAAACTTAAGAACTGCTGGGTTGATATTTAGCAGAAGCGTTGATATCCTCAATAATCTTCTAGTAATTTAATGCATAATCTATGTATACGTGCTCTGTGTGAGGATGAACCAGATAGGTGGAGTATCATTTCTGTACAAATGTGAGGGTCAAGCAACAATCGATGAACCAAATATACCACCATAACAGTTATGGTTGAGAAACGGTACTCGACCTCATGGATGAATGAGAGATCGTTTGTTGCTTCTCAGACAATGAGATAGAACTGGAACTAAGAACACAACTCTGGAATAAAATCACTTATCAAGTGTGTCCACAAGCTGCTGATAATAGGATGGATCATTGAATGGAGGAGATTTGACCTGTAATTGAAGCTGAATTGACATTGGAGTTTCAAAGCGTTTTGCACCAGTCATGCCTGATTTTTCAAGCAATTAGGTTGATGAAGATATACACTAGAAAATGCTGTATGTATTTCAAGCCCAAGAAACTACTTGAGTTGGCCAGGATCAGAAATCTGAATTTCATAGGTTATTCACCCTTCAGAGTACTAATGGAGTGTTTTTTTAAGTGGGAGTGTTTAGTGATTTCAATAAAAATTGGCAGAGAGAAGGAAAGGTTGGATGGGAATTAGAAAGGAGCAACTTGAGGGTTGATGTTCTGAACAAGATGGATGAAAATCCTTAGCAAATGTGGTCAAAGGATTCATGGGATCAAGAACAGTGTGGATAAGGAATTCCAATGGAAAAATGAAGATGAAGAAAAGGATTGCTATTATGAGAGTTGAGTTTGCTAAAATTGATTGGCACGTACCATTGTGGTCAAGAGACCTCAGTTTCATCATGATTCGTTCACCATCGTTGTGGCACTAAGACAGGTGATCTATGAATATTTTATGTGAATCCTTTTGATGCAAAGGAAGCTTTGATTAGAGGAGTTAAGAAAATGGCTTGTACTTGTAAGATTGATGGATTGGCGGATATGAGGAGATTTTAAAGAAGGGGAAAATTTGTGGGGTTTTATTAACTGTTAACACGCTTGATTTCTTAGAAGCATATTTAGAGATAATAGGTAATTTTTGTGGGTTTATTCCAGCCAAATTTGAGATTTAACATCCAAGTGAACGGAGATTTGTCGTGCAAGCTGTGACCTAGCCATTCTTCGAAACTTTTGGCTAGTAGTGTGAGCAAAATTTCCAACAAAGTTGTTTGGATGATGTTGTTTAGAATGTTCATAACAACTTCATAGTATTGCTTGATTGAGATAGAAGTTGAAGATAAATTCAGCTACTTTGTTTTGCTGTTCAAGGGTTTTTTCTTTGACTTTAAATCATGCCCATAGGATCTTTCTTCGTGCGGTTAATGCACGGAAGAAAGTGTATTTAGTATGGAGGACATTAATAAGTGTATGAATAAGAATCTCCTCAGCCTCAATGTCATCTGAGACCAACTCATTCAACTGTAATTTCTGTAAGATCTTGAACATCTAAAATGTGAGATAATGAAGCTGACTGTTTTAGCAGATTGAAAATTTTCCTCGAAACAGAAAATCGAATAGATTCTTGCAGATGCATTCAACCCTTGTTATTAGTCGATGTAACAGTCTAGAAGGATTTGTATATAAGACTGCAGCTCTTATTGGTTTTTTTAATGTATGATTTGTGCATTAGAAGTAAAAGAAAGAAAAAAAAGTCTTCTCATAATTAAATTTCGATCGATCAGTTAACATATGCTTATTCCTGTTGAATTGTTCAGTTTTGGTGTAAACTGATTGCTCGTGCTCGCTCTTTAACCTCTGCTAATTATTTCAGCTATATTTCACATTTCTACTTGTGTTTCAATAGATAAAGTGGTCATACAGTCGGCACGAGCTAGACATGATCGTCTAACAATTAACTGTTTGGTTTTGTCATATCATCAATATATCAACAGTTTGACTAGATTTTTTTATCATGAATTCAGTGTGAGAATGGGCATATTGCATGCTCTTCCTGCTGCAACAAACTTAAGAATAGATGTGCAACCTGCTCTTGGCCTATCGGCTATAATCGTTGTCGGGCCGTCGAGAAGGTTCTTGAATCCATTAAACTACCCTGCAAACAATCAAAGTACGGATGCAAGGAGATGGTTAGTTATGGTAGTGAAAGTGACCACGAAAAGAAATGCCTACATGCCCCTTGTAAATGCCCTCTTCCTGATTGCAACTTTGTTGCCTCATCTAAGCAATTATCACTACATTTCAGCAGTAAACATACAGACTCTGCTATCAGCTTTCAGTTCAGTTCTAGCTTCACCATTTGCCTAAACGCTAACGATAATTACCGCGTTCTTCAAGAACAAGGTGATGGTATTCTTTTTATTCTCAGCAATAGTTTTGATCATCTGGGAAATGCTGTTAAAGTTTGCTGCCTTAGACCTCCTTCCTTGAAGGAAGCATTTTCTTATGATCTACGAGTAGAAACTCAAGATCTCTCCCTAGTTTTACAATCTTCCATGAAGAACATTCAATCATCATCAGATTGCTGTCCCTCGACGAGGTTCCTTTTGATTCCACGCGATTTGTTCAGTTCTTCAGGCATGATCAAGTTGAATATCTGCATATGGCAAAACACCGGTGCACCACCGTAGATAAAAGGCGTCGGTAAGTCAACAAGTAAATATCGTGCTGTTTATATAAATGTATATGTCAGTGTGCATATTGTGTACATGTCATGGAAAATAAGGTCAGTCTTAGAAGCTCAGTTATGCTGCATAATTTGTATATAGCAGCAGTTTCCGATTTCGTAAGTTTATTCTAACTCGTTCGGTCCATGGTCTGGGAACTCGGTTGTGTTATATTACCACTACTTAAATGAACTCTTTCAGATGGACCCTGTTCGTGTTTGAAGTTTCTTTTGATTTTTTTGTTCATGTTATCCAAAATGTTCATGAACTAAAAATTAATAATGAATAGAAATGTGCATGCCCAACGTGAGAATAGGCATGTCGTTGGGCAAGCAATGGCGTCGGCCACGGCAATCTGGATGTATGATATTTTGAATGAGAGTGATCCTTACGTATAGCGTGTACCAACAAGATATACCTTCATTTTCAGTGGTTCATCATTCTTAGGAGTGAAGATTTCATTTTCAGTGGTTCATCATTCTTAGGAGTGAAGATGTAGAATGATACGGAGGCCATCAAGTATTGAATCCAAATTTAGAATTCTGGGCATGAGTCGTTACATAAGAATATTATAGATGATATAGATGAAATTGGACTGAAAAGTGGTAAGTGAACTTATTGTTGAAAGTCTTACGAGCTAGATTGGATGAAATTGTTTGATTCATGAATAACACGTACTCTGTAATTTTAACGCATGTATTTTATTTTTCGTTTATTGTCAGCTATGTTGATATGACCATGTTTAGGCCTTGCAAAATACCATGTAGGATAAACATGAATGAAATACCATGAATATGCATGTATCTCTCATAAGAAATTTTCGTCATGATAATTATGCACATTAATGTCGGAGTTCATGCATGATGTATGTCATATGATCATGGATCAAATCTCCAGTATGTTATGTACAAACATGTACACCACAGTATCATTCTTATTCCTTACTAACCCATAACCAGACCAAGCGTAGAAAAGTACCGGACATCAAACTTTGTTAGAAATGAAAAATAAAACCCAATAAATAATCAAGAATTTTAGGCTCCGTGGGCGTATGCATTTTCCAATCCCCAATAGCGGAACCACTCACGGAGTATTTTTAAATATTCATCCTATATTTAACATTTTTTTTCGATAGAGGCACGAACCGCTTTTCTTTTTTTTTTTTTTTTTTTTTTTTT